ATGTTCCCAATATGCTTGGGTTCTTATTGGGAATGTCTTACTTGACGCAGTAGGGTGGAATCAAACTCACAGCAAAGGATCAGATCACTACATGGCGGTGCTGTACATCTTTTCCTTCTTCTTGCTTCTGTTGCTGCAGCCACTCTCATACAAAATTTGTTGTGCTATCTATCTAGACTAGCGAACTTAAAGTTTGCATGACTGTGCTATTTCTGGATTCAAGGACCAACTTTGTTAACACACTTTTTGCGAGTGCCGGCATAATGCAGATGACAGCAGCAGCAGCAGCAGCAGCCAGAACAACAATCACAAGGCACGTCTACTCCCGCAAGTGACATCGATTGTTCATGTGCGACGAAACTTGTGGTTGTAAGTCGGATAGTTATGGCCATGGCCACTTTTAGGGGAGTTTGCACCCCTCTTATGATTACCCCAATTCCCTCAGATGCTCTCACATAGGCGGCGCAAGTCCAACTACCCACAAACCCATAGTAGTATCCATATAACCCTTACATATACCCCAATATACTATAGTAGTTTCCATGTTCTTTTCCATTATCCCAATACCTGAAGACCTAAGGCCCAAACCCAAACCCAAGACAGGCTATTGGCTTGCACTGGTCCTCTACGAGGCAGGTCCGCTTTGGTTCAGGGGTGTTGGCGCTGGAAGACTCTGCTGCCCCCGATGGAAACTTTTAGTATACCTTTATATATATATACAGCTCTTAACATGACCCCTTCTATAGACTGTTAATGGGTGGGGGCAGGGTTCAAGACATACCCATTGCAAGGACCCTCCTTGAACCCCAAACCGTAAACACACTAAACCGTAAACCTGAAACCCTGGAATTCCAGGGTTTAGAGTGAGGCTTGAGGCCACAACCCAAGGTCATAAACCATCGGTTTCGGTTTTAGGGTTTAGGGTTTCGGGTTCAAGACGTCTTGCTTTCACAGGAGCCTTCCACGCTACAAGTGGTGGATGTAGCCTTCTCACGTGTTAGAAGACGTAGGGTCTAGTGGTCGAATTTCGAATTTCACTCAGGGAATAATTCAAGTCATAAGCAGGCAACCGCCCCATAACCCTTTGTAACCACAGATTTCCCTAGAGTTACGTAACATCCCTACTTACGTAGTCTAGGGCTGAAAACAGTTCATGAGTCGGCCGAGGCCACTAGAATGCCCTCCAGCGTTGAAGTTGCATGATATCTTTGCTAAGGGCAAAATTCTAGGCAGGACAAGGTAAGCAACCTTGAACCCTAAAACGTAACCCCCCAAATATTAAGTAACCTTACACACTAAACCCAAAACCCTCAACTCTAAACCTTAAGCCCCAAACCCTGTGCCCAGGTTACGGTGTCAGCCGAGAAGGGACAAATGCGAAGGCTTCTGCTGGACTTCCTCATTCCAGGCTTGCCTCCTCCAGCGTCAGCATAAGGTACCTCTCAAGGGGATGTCAGGATTATATTGGCTTATATAGGGTTCTATATGGTTATGGGTGTAGGGCTAAGGTCTTCAGGGCTTAGGTTTTGGGCTTGGGGGCTTTAGGGCTTTCGGGTTTGGGGTTCAGAACCCTTGAACCCTAAACCCTAAACCCCTAAACCCTAAACCCTAAACCCTACACCCTACACCCTAATTCTGGTCCCAGGTTCCTAATTATCGTATAGGGTATCTAAGATGACTTCCCAGACCCCCAAAAGACATAAAAAATAGATCCCCTAGAACCATAGGGGGAATTATATGCGGATTATATAGGAGTTATAATGGGTCTATATAAATAGGGGATCTAATTTTTAGATCCTCCCAGGGGCCTGGGTTCGCAATGCTGTTTAATTTTGCCAGACCCGACTGTACAGCCGAGAGCTTTCACTGGCTTCGCCGCGTGGTGTTGGGGTTTAGGGTTTAGGGTTTGGTGAAAATTCAGGCGCTGGGGGGATAGGACTACTTCATTACACTGATGTCAACCATGCAACTTTTGCATAGGCTTACCGCCAATTCACTTTGTCCTAAGGCTATGCAAGTAAACAGCCCTGAGAAAAGCGCGCTAAACTCCCCAGACTCGAAAACTTGCTGCCAACCAGCAGAGTGATCTGCTCCTGCTGTTCAACTCCTACCTAAACCCCAAAAGTATGTAGAAATAATGGCCTTCTGGGCTATGTTTAACCCTAAACCCTAAACCCTTGTTTAGGGGATTTTGGGCTATTACTTCACCTACTTTTGGGGTCCAGGTAAGCGAGTGTGGTCAAAGCATGCCTCAGCTTCCGCTGGAAGTTGAAATGTTTGGGATGTTGCAGGGGGTTTAGGGTTTAGGGTTTAGGGGCCCCATCATTTTTGCAAAAGCCTGTGGCCTTCAACCCTCAACCCTCTAAGCATGTGCTAGAATAATTGATAGCCAGAAGGCTTCCTGACATAAGAATCTACCCATGGGTTTAGGGTTTGTAGGGTTCAGAGTTTAGGGTTAAGGGTTTAGGGGTTTGGGGTTTGGGGTTTAGGATTTCTCAGAATAGCCGCTCTAGAGACACCGATAGAGCCAAAACCTCCATATGTTTCCGTGTTTCCCTTTGGTACCCCAATCTTGAGAGACCAAACCCGGAACCCTAAACCCTAATCCCTATCTATGCCCACGGCCCCCTACAAGGGATCTAAGGGCTTAGGATTTGCCGGAGCAACCGGAAGGCTTCCTGATTTCAGCAACTATGCTGGTGCTGAGTGCTGCGCTGGACTCAATGCACCCAGGGTTTAGGGTTTAGGGCTCAGGGTTTAGGGTTTAGAGTTTAGGCTTTCGGATTTAGGCTTTGGGGTTAAGGTTCAGGATTTAGGGTGTGAAGCCCTAAACCCTAAACCCTAAACCGCACCTAGAGTTCTCCCACAGCCCAGGTCAAGCTTGGCTCGGCTTGGATGTTTCGGGGTGCGGAGTGGGGGTGGGGATACGGTCCCTTCAGTTACAGCCACCTTACCCTTTAAAACACAGTATATGGGGAACCCTCATGCAAAAACGGCGCATTCATGTTCAAGAGCGCCCGGTTACCAAAGCATCCATGCCCAAGCCATAATGATGTTCATGTTCGAGAGTTCCCATTACCAGAAATGCCCAAACTATAATAACGTTCATGTTCCAGAGCATCCCATTACCGGACCATCCATGCCCAAGCCAGAATAACGTTCGTGTTGCAAGTGCATCCACTTGGGTTTAGGGCTTAGGGCTCGCAGAAATAATCCATAATGTGCTGAAATTTCAGGCTTCATATAATTATCTTGGCGCTATCCAACTGTTACTGAGTGGGGCAGTATTCAAAATATTTATAGCCATATGCTCGATCGCTTCCAAAGTGGGGGGGGGAGGCGGGGGAGAAACTGTGGAAATTAGGGTTGGGTTTAAGGCTTAGGGCTACCTGATTTCTATGCCCTAAATCCTAAATTTTTACATCTTAAACCCTAAATCCTAAATCCCAACGTGCCACGGAAGGGGTTCTCCGGAAGATCCATGCGGGCTTTACGTTATGCAGTGTGAAAGGTACAGAAACTACTCCGTTTTGCAATGAATTTTGCTTGCAGGGCTTAGTGCGTTCAAGGAACGGAAGGTGATGACCATGCGGAATTTCCTTCTAGAATTCTGCGCACAACCTTGATTTAAGATGAGAAGGTTGCATGTTTTAGGAGTCAACATGTGCAAAAACGCATGGATTTGGCGCACTGCGAATGAGAAGTATACTGTCGCACACTCAGAAAGTAAGAAGGTGCCTGGCCAGACTTAGAACTTGTTCAAAAGTACTGTGTTCTACAGCTCGTGAAATGTGTAGCAAACGGAACACAGCGGTGATAGTCAGGCTTTTTCTGCGTTGGTGCGATCAGAAACTGTACATGACATGCAGTCTGTCCCACTACGCGCCGTGTTTTTGCATCAGGGCTCCCGGAAAGGATATAGACTTCGTCCCGCTGGGCGCAGTGTACGAAAACTAAGCTATACCTCCGGTCAATCCCCCACGCAGTAATGGGTACGACAATGGATTATTGTAGGTATATTAAGGCCCTATTAGCTCCATATTTGGGGGCTGATACTGTAAGGGGAATTGACCTAGCCTAAAACACTAAAGCCCCTAACCCTAAACCTTAAACCCTAAAACCCTAAAACCAGGGGGGGGTTTGACCCAAGCTATACCGAAGCCGCCGCAGGTCCCTTTCCACCAAGCTCACATGGGTGGCATGCTGTCTTCAGACCAGAAGGCTTGGTTTAGGTGGGGTTGGTTTAGGGTTTAGGGTTTGGGCTGAAGGGTTATTTAGGGGTTATATCGGGAATATGAAGGGATAATGGAAAAGAAAATGGAAACTACCATCATAGATTAGGGTTTAGGGTTTGAGGTTCAGGCTTTGGGTGTGGGGATGACGATCGAGGAACGCAGCTTCGAGATGCTTCTTGTATTTTTGTAGCCCGATTGTTCGGGTATTCGCTAACGGTTTATACACATGTCTACACACATTGCATGCGTACATACATACCTACCTACGTACATGCATGCATACCTACCTGCACGCATGCATGCATGCATGCATGCATGCATGCATGCACACATACAGAGGTACACGCGTACGTACATACATACATACATACGTACATACATCGCACATATAGGCATACACACACATATACACAGACACAGACATACACACATACACACATACACGCACACACACATACACACATACACACATATACGCATTCACACGCACACGCACATACACACATACATATGTACACATATATACGTATACACACATACACATACACACGCACACACACACATACATACATACATACATACATACATACCTACGTACCTACGTACGTACGTACGTACGTACGTACATAAAACATGTGCATATGCATATGTATATATGTATATACATATATATGTCTGTGTATACATATGCCTGCGAAAGGGCACACATGCACCCGTACATGAGCAGGATCCCTGGCCTAGGCCATAACTGTTTACCTGAGCGGCGTCTTAAGATCTTCGGAGAAGGGCAGCACGTCCTTCCTAGGAAGGATACGACTTAGGGGTTGGCGGCGGGGGTCCAGAATTTAGAGTTTAGGATGTGCTTATAGCCTTATAGCCCTTCTCTTCCATCTGGGCGAATCCAGGCCAGTAAAAACTACGACCAAGGGCAAAAGCCAACAAGTGTGGGACTGTTAGGGCCTAGGGCTTAGCGTTTGGAGTTTAGGGTTCAAGGTTAAGGTTTAGAGTGTAACCAGGGTTGAGGGAAAGAAGCGGGAACTTTTGCAATTGGCACTCTTCCTTGCCAGGTCTGCATCCAACAGCTAAAAGGCAGAAAACAAATAGGGACCGCATTATTTCAGCTTCGATATACAACTGCTGTATACAACAACTGTGGATGCCTTCGAACTCATTGTGGATCAATAGCGCTTCAATGGCTGGCCTCAAGCTCTTTGAGGGTTGGGTTGGAGATGTGGAACCCTGAGAGAGCATAGACTCATAGAGGAGTGGACATGGGAAACTTTGGGATTTTTCAATATGGGGTCTAGGGATATGGGATATGACGGGACTGCATTAAGAGTGATAGGCATCCCTATTAGGGGCTGCAAGCCTGATATCTTGAGACACACCCCGTTGTGATACGGTAGTGCCTTTATGCCCACACGATGCTCACAACCCTAAAGCCTGACCCTAAAATGCCTTAAGGACCCCCAAAGCCTCTATACTTCCTAAACTCCCGTAGAACTTCGGAGGGGCCCTTAGTCTCTCGACGGCCCTACACCAACTTGAGAAGTGTTGTGGCCAAACCAAGTGTGGTAATAAGTATCACAACGAAGCGGGAAAAGACCTATTATCTGGGGGGTCATAACATCCCAAAATAAAACCCTACATGCTAAACCCCTAAACTGGCCTTAAACCCTAAATCCTTAAAAATGAAACCCTAAACCCCTAAACCCCTAAGCCCTAAACCAATAAAAACCTCTAAACCCTAGACCCCGAAACCCAGAAACCCACCCGTGTACTTTCACGTTGCATCTCAGCAGCTCGTTCTTGAGCAGGATGACCTCAGAAGACAATAACTTCCAATTAGGATTTAGGGTTTAGGATTTAGGGTTTAGGATTTAGGATTTAGGGTTTGGGATTTAGGATTTAGGGTTTGGGATTTAGGAATTAGGGTTTAGGGTTTAGGGAATTTAGACCCAATAGTTAGGTAGCTAGACGCAGGGTAATAGTAATAATTATAGTATGGGGTTTGGGTAAGTATATGATTATAAGGTTCCTGTACCCCCCCCAATTACTGAGTTGCTGTTTAGGAACTTAAACTAAGGATTATATAGGTGTACTGGAAAAGAAAATGGAAACGACTGTACAGTTTAAAGTTTAGGTTTCAAGGTTTAGGGCTTGCTGTTTAGGAACTTAATTCAAGTTACCATAGTATGAGTATACCGGTATACCGTACATAAGAGGGTTTCCGTGCTCTAGCAACTTAATTCAAATTCCTTCACAGCAACTCATCGGATTGCCCTGCAACTTTATGGCTCGTACGTGCAAGTTAGGGGCAGGCAGTTACTACCAAACTGTAGGTAATCTATCTTCCCCAATAACCAGGGCTAAAAAAGTTCAAACTTTATTCTAGAGACCCTAAAAGAAGCCTAAAAAGCTCAAAGTTCTTCTATTGGCTAAGTAAGTAATTGAGATTACAGGTCTCGGGCCACATCAAGTCACCGCACGAATTAAACGCTCATATGGGCGTTTGCTATGCGAGGGTGGACATAACTTTTCCAAAAGACCGAGGATCTCAATATGAAGGTCTAGCAAGAACAACTGCCTTAGCACATCCACACATCTCAAGCGTGGTGGGCGCTAATGTAAAGGCATCTAAAACGAATACCAGAATGGAGAATCAATTGGGAATGAAATGGAAACTGCCTTTTAATAGTGCTTGGGCATAGTTATCACTATAATATAACTGCAATACTACGAATAATTTCGGGTTTGGCGGGTTTAGGGTTCCTTTACTGCTCTCCGCCATCCAAGATTAGGGATCCCCCTTCTGGGGTCCCAATAATTGGGCTTCTTGAGACCCTAAACCCTAAACCCTAAGCCCTAAACCCTGCACCCTAAACCCTAAACCTTGAGAAAGAGACAGGTTTAGGCAAGTCTCCTTGAGACCAAGCCCTAAGCCTCGGACCTGAGGGTGCCCCCCCATTAGGGGTTTAGGGGTTTAGGGTTTTGGGGTTTAGGGGTTTTAGGGTTTAGTGGTTTTAGGGTTTAGTGGTTTTAGGGGTTTAGTGGTTTAGGGGCTTTCTTAAACTCAGGGCTCCCAAGCCCAAACATCATGCGCGACCCTTCTCATATCTCTTCCCTGCCCAAAGAACTGCAGTTTCTCCATGTTTCTCCAATTCCCCCATCCTCGCTGCTAATTGACCTAAGAAGTAACCCTAAACCCAAAAACCTAGGGATCCCCAAGCCTAAAGCCTCCAGCTCCAAACCCTAAACCCTAAGAAGGGGCAATATCCTGAACCTTTGCAGCTTGGCCACAGACTCGGCCACCATGCGCGTTGCCAGCTCCTGCTGCCCGTGAAAGATAGGCGATTATAGGGTTTAGGATTTAGGGTTTAAAGGTAACCAAAAGTGGAGTTGTAAGCACGCGATGCAAGGTTTTGGGTTTGTGATAATTCTAAAGCAGCCAACTGTAGCTAGGGCCCATGAAACGCAGGAGCCTGAACGATCAGAATATTCTCACCTTATACTCGAAAGAGCGCCTGCGCTAGGATCATGCAGGATTGCTGTGGGTATGGTACCAGGGTTTGCCCACCGCTCCTGTGGGGATAGCCCAAGGATGCCAACTTTCAAATTCAACAAGCCTAATCCCAATATGGTACCCTATACTGATATTTGGCAATTTCTGGGAACTCTGCAGCAGGATCTACTTTCTAGATCTTCCCGGGGTCTGGGAAAGGTGAAAAATGTCTACGTTGCTTTTGAACTTCAGGACCTATTAGATAAGGATGCGGCAGGATCGTTCGTAAGAACACGAAACAGCCCTGTCCCTGAAGCCCTGAACCGCTCAAGCTCCTTTTTTCGACTTGGGGAGCTCAAGGGTATTAAGTGTGGTCTGACACACGTTTAAATAGCAACCACGGAATAGTCATAACTGTCTTAGGGGACTCCTGGTGGGTGCGGGGATAACATGAATGAGGATTTGCGACGAATTTGCACTGGAAACCGGATTTGGGGGATTGTATGAAGAGGCTCTAACGCAAGCCATTGCGTCCTTGTGCGAATCTGTGGTTGACACCACTTCGTAGACCTGACAAACCAGATCCGCAATGTGAGGCGGAGGCTACCGTCGGGGTCCAGGAGGTATTAGCGGGGTTGGGGGGGGTTTATTGCGGGGACGTGATGCCAAGTAGGATAGCAGCCGGGAAAAGCAAAGCCACAGGGGAATTGCACTGGCCGAACCCAGGACCCATTCACTAAGCCCTCCGCTAATAACAGGGCTTAGTTGCCCCAATCCCAAAACTTAGGACCCTGTTTGTTATAGTCATGTCATATGAAAATTGAAGGGTTCTTATTATAGGGGTTGGGATACTGTAACCCTGAACCCTAGACCCTGAACACGTTATCTCGCTCCTACAGCAAAAGATCACGAATGCCTGCTTCTGGCAGCCGTTGTTCGCGGGAGTGCAGGCAGGGTTCTCCATGAGCCCATAGCGCACCTCACTCTTGGGCTTCAGGTCTAGAATTGCCAGGGAACCCAGGGAGCCCAATACCACTTACTTAAAGAATACCTTAAATCATACGAGGGACCATAGTACCATTTAATGTATATTCCTCAAATAGGGGGTATTGGGCTCTCCGGGAATTTTCCAGGGGTTCCTAAGGAGGAGGGTGCGAGGTCATGGGTAAGCTTGGCAACGAACATCTCTGCTCGCCCTTAACTACATGCAACTTGCACTCCAAACGAGAGGGAGGTGAGCTGCGAGAGAAACATGGTGGCCAAATGTAAATAAGTATGCGTCTAAATATCTATATGTACATGTATGTATATGTGTGTATGTGTATATATGGTACTTTCCCGAGAGAAAAAAAAGGGACCCCAATAAAGACACCAAAATACTACAATCCCTATTATAAGGGCTCCCAAAAAAGTACTCCTATTTCTGGGAAACCTCCCATAAATAGTTTTGTGCCTAAACTTAAACACTGCGAACCTTCTGATAATGACTCAGCATTGAAAACCAAAATTTCACAGCTTTTGTGCATCAATGGAGCAGCATGCGATTCAGGAACGCCCCTCAATTCACATTCGGCTGAAAACATACATGCATGCATACACACATACATGTATGAGGCCTACTGAGGGAGTATCCTGTCTGGCAGGGTTGGATTGGAATCCCTGAGGGAAATCACCACAATGAGGCCCTGAGGTCAAGGAGCAACTCCGATGAGGATCCGGGCAGCCATGTCCTTCAGCACAGTAAATAGCAGCAGTGGTCGAAGAAATGTTCGAAAGTAGCTTCAAGCCTAGTGGTAGCAATACTATGAGCAGTAATGGTAATAACCACAATGATGGCAAGAGCAATGCCAACTGCAATAGTAAACATGCTAAAGGTAACAGCCCCAGCGCCATTAGGGTTCGGAGGGTGCAGCCTCTTGTGACTCTTGTGGAAAAACTCAGGTTTCGGACTTCAACACGCACAACACAATGCACGGATCAGGGTTCTCCAAAAAAAACCTGGTACGCAGTGTATAAAAGCAATCCAGCTTCTCAAGAGCCTACGGCTGAGTTTAGCAGTCGTAGCTGTGGTTTGTACATCATACGTATATTGAAACGCCTTGGAGCTGAGGACTTTAGATCTAAACGTCATGATCTTAGCGGTCTATTCGGTCAGTTCTGCTGCATACGCATACCCTGAAGAGCCAGGTACCGAATAATCATATAAATCCTCATGCAGAACCTAGCCAGCAATGCGACCACTTTTACCAAAATCCCAATGTCATTCAATCATTGCGCACTTGGACCCTCTAAAAATGAATACAATGCAGGCATTTTTCTCAAAAAGCTTCGCCTGAAGCGTTTACTACGACACCACCTGTGTATTCTACAACAGGGCTAGGGCCACCCTAAACCCTAGAGCCCTCGGGCTATCAAGTCCTGGATCTTCTCCAAAGGCAGCGTGGCAGTGTTGTTGGGCGTAAAGTAGGCCTTTGCAGCTTCAAGGGTTTCCCAAAATTAGGAGTAATTACCATGTGGGAGGTCCCAATAATAAGGACTGTAGTATTTTGGGGTCTATATTGGGGTCCCCTTATTTGGGGAAACTACCATTCGTGAAGGATTCAGGCTACGAGATCTAATTCATCCCGCGCCGTACACAAAGTGATACTCCTCACGGCTAGAAGGAAGCACTGGCAGCCTGCTTTGCAGATGAATTTTGAAATTCTGAATGCACCTTGAGCTCCGTGACTATACCCTGAACCCTAAGACCTAACTGTTGCGTATAGGCTTTAGGTGTCTTGGGAGCGGTCCTCTTTCCAACAGTACGACGTAGTAAACAGCAGGAGTTATAAAAAATAAATAGTGTTTTATTGGGTGGTTGAACCTAGTAAGACCATATTCCTTATACAAGATACTATACCCCAAAGGGAGGATACAATCTTACTGTATATTGGGTACCATAGTACCCTGAATAAAATACTAAAGCCTAAACCCTAAACCCCTAAACCCTAAACCCCTAAACCCTAAACCCTAAACCCCTAAGCCCTAAACTCCACATGGGGATTCGCATCCTGGCACCCGCAAGGTAACCCGGCGGGCAAAAATCATCGAGCAGTCCTGCTTAGTGCCTAGTGATCATGGCCGCCTCAAGCCCTAGAGTCCCCTTAAGTAGATTTGGGGGTTTCCCAAAATTCATGGGGGTTTAGGGTTTATATAGGGTTTAGGGTTTAGGGTCTAGGAGTCCCCTTAAGTAGATTTGGTCCCACAAACTCCTTGGACCCCACTACCTTGTACCCCACTACTATGAAGGCCATATTCCTTCTGTATTTGGGTCNNGTGGGGGTCCTCAGAGTCCCTAGGACTTGGGGGTTTCCCAAAATTCATGGGGGTTTAGGGTTTATATAGGGTTTAGGGTTTAGGGTTTAGAGTCTAGGGGTTTCCCAAAATTAGGGGTACCTTTTTGGGAGTCCCTGCAATAGGGTCTGTAGTATATTGGGGTCTATATTGGGGTTCCCTTAGTCAGGGAAACTACCATATCGGGTTGAGGGTGTAGGGTTTAGGGTATTGGCCCCCTCAAGTAGATGGAAATGGGGTTCCAGGTAATATTGGGGAATTCCATGTTCTACCTAGTTAAGGAGGACTATCAACCCTTGTTGCAGCCGGATTCCTACATCTGGCTGGAGAAACAAGCCTCATGCCAAGGATTTCACTCCCAAACCCTGAACCTTAGAGCCTAAACCCTAAATCCTAAACCCTAAATCCTAAACCCTAAATCCTAAACCCTAAATCCTAAACCCTAAACTCACCAACCTCGCAAGACCTGAATTGCGAGGCCTGGTTCATGGGATTGCCGTCAATGCTGTTGCCTGGCATTTCCATGTCCAGTCCTGCGCTTCCAGGCTTCGTTTTCAAGGCTTGGGGTTGAAGGTTCAGTTTAGGATTTAGGGTTTAGGATTTAGGGCTTGAGATTTAGGGTTTAGGCTTGAGCTTGGCGATTTGGGGTTCTGGAGCTTGGGCGCTGTCGAACCTTTTTCGTTTTGTGGGTCTTGAGACACGCCCCTTCTTTACACGAAAAGACCCTTACACAACCCCTATCTATCCCCGTTAATGGTAGCCTTAAACTTGGGGAACCACCCACTCAAAACTCTAACCCCTAAATGCAGAGCAGGCAGATCATCAGTCAAGTGCTCATTGCGACAAACCTGCTTTTGAGACGCCGCAGCAAGTAAGATGGCCTCCCCCTACTGCTGAATCTTCCAGGGTCATACTTCAAGGTGTATAGGGAGGTATTTTAGGGATGTTAACAAATAGATAAATGAATACAGAAATAGATAAAATACACTAAATCAATGAACAAGCGCAAAAATAGGTATAAAGTAGTTAGATAAATAGATAAATGCAAGTAACCAAATAAACAAGTACATAAACGTACATGTACTCTGTATTTTCATAAATGCAGCCCTACGGTTGAAACTCTCCCTGACTCCCTGCCTGCTGTTGCAGAGAACTCATGCAATGCCCACCAGTCGCTCATTACCTAGGCATCATGGAGCGGAGGGCGCCGGCATGCTCCACTTCTCATGGGACGGGGCTTCGAGTTGAACCTGCCGAAAACCCTTAGCCCTGAACCCTAAACCCTGAAGCCTTGAACCTCAAGCTAACACCCTCTCGACAGTCTAGACTAGACCAAGCGCAATGGAGCCAACACTACGCCCAAAACCTGGAGTTGAGCAAGAAGACCACCCAAAAAAGAACCCCACAAGCGTCTCTGCGGCAGCTGAGTGATGTAAAGCCGGAACAGCTTTGAACAGCATCTCTCTCTGTGACCCTCGCATAACTATATTATGATATTCGCCGAAACCCTCCTCTGAGTGTTTAGGCCCCTACCCCAAACCCTAAGCCGATTTCGGGCGCATACACGGAGTGGAGGGTTCTGAAATGTCCATGAAGCTGCCGCGCCCTTGTAGCCCATGGCCGTTTTCAGATCTTCCAGTAGGAGATCCTAAGGCTTTAGGGGTTCAGGGTTTTGGGGTGGGTTTAGGGGTTTAGGGTCGGGCAATTGGGGTTTAGGGCTCTACTTGGGCTCAGAGGGGCCACTTGGAGACACAGGGCAATTATCACCCAAGGAAAACTGTACTTTAATTGAATCCAACAATGAGGCCCTAGAATTCTCGAATTAGGTTATATGTGGGATGTAAGCACCAGTTACAATAATCAGGTTATTACAACCCTGCGTATCCAAGTAGGGCCTGGGAGTCAGGGTCAGGATGTCGTGCTTGAGAACTGCGGCTAAGGTTTAGGGTTTAGGGCTTACGGGAGATGTAGTCCGCTGTAATTAAGGAGATAGATAGACTATGGGGTATAGTGATCTTACTATGATATTGGGCAATTCCATCTTCTATCTACGTAAGGGAGAATATGGGGCTTGGGACTCCAGGCTTCAGGGTTTAAACCCTGAACCTTAGGTGGACCCCCCACCTAGTAATAGTGACTATAGGGGATAATAGGGATTATATTCGGGTCCTCTTATATTATTCCTATTATGCCACTATTACAGGGTGGGGGGTCCTCCTACCCTGAACCCTAAACCCGTTTCTGGCTTCGGGTTTGTGAGTTCTCGTGCTCTTCAATATCCTGATGATGCAATGGCATTCCAAGGGTATCATGAGGGCGCTTCAAAAAGCACGGTAAAGACAAGTGCCAAAAAAAGCTGGAACAGGAAAATCGGATTATGTATGCTACCTTTCTTTTCTTCCATGTCCTGGGGTTGTGTTTGCTCCCTCTATTTTGGATTTCCCTGAACAACTATGCCCACCTATGCCCAAAAACTGAGAACGGCCCCATATGCACATGTCTTAAAGGAATCCCTACATCTAATACCTACGAAACACCCACTGTACCCGTCTACGGCAACTTTATACATTCCTATGGCCCCGAAGTGCCTCTAAGCCCTCTAGACCCTACTTACAGGATCTCTTGACACAGCACGTCTGCTTAGTAATAGGGATTATGGGGCTTAAAAGAAAGGTTATTGGGGATAGTAGGTAGACTTACGAAGTCAAAGGATCATCCATGTAGGAGCTTATAGTAGTCCCGAGATAAACCATTATAGCAGTTTCCATTTTCTTTTCCATTCCTTCATGCCCAGCTAACCCAAGGCCCCCTAAAACTCTAAACCCTAAAACCCTAAACTCTAAACTCCTAAACCCTAAGCCCTAAAACCCTAAACCCTAAATCTGGACCCTACTGAAACCTTTCGTCTGCCAGAAACCGAACTCGCTGGATCGAGGCTCTGGGCTGCTACATGCATGGACACCTTGGAGGGCATGTCCAAAGGGCTCAAAAGGGGTTTAAGGTTCAGGGTTTAGGGATTAGGGATTAGGGTTGAAGGTTTAGGGATTAGGGTTTAGGGCTTAGCTTTTCAAAGGGCTCAAAAGGTGGGATGAAGGAAGGTAGGGCGTAGGAAATAAGCCCCAAAATGGTACAGTATATACTAAGGATCCTTTAACCCACCTACCTTCATCCCACCTTTTGAGCCCCCTGAGATGTGAGATTTCCCAAGACCCAGGCGGTTCAGAGTTTAGGGTCTAGGGCTTGATATACCTTAAACCCTTTATACCCTAAACCTTATACCCCCAAACCCTAAGTACATTGCCCTTAAAGCTGCCATCTCGGGGGGGGGGTTCTGCCTTGTAGCTCCTCCCAAGCAGGGGGTGTGGTTGAGCAGGTAACTACCCAATCGGGGGATGCTAATTCCGAAGAGCTCCCATTATTTCAGGTATGGGAATGGCAGCAGTAGTAGTTATGGGAATAACAATAGTAATAGCAATTGCCTCAGGGCGCAAACGTGTTGGATTTCTCGCCTGCAAATACGCCCTTTGATCCAGGTAGACTACCGTCCCTCAAGTCAGGCCTGCATGTTGTCTTCCATAAGGTTGGGGGAGGGTACCTTGCTTCCTGATGGTCGGCGAGGGTAGGAATCATCATGCTACCGCTTCGGCTCAAGGATTGTCTAGCTGAACTTGGCCTCACAGAATCAGCAGACAAGCCCATGATTGTCCAAAAGAAAACTGTAATGCCCACAAAACAAACCCCCGAAATAAATACCAACATCAATGTACAGTCTGCTACTTGCGTACTGCCCCCAACTGAGCAAAAGCATCTTACACCGAATTGATAAGAACATACAACATGAGACGGAAAGTGGGTTTAGATATGAGTTTTGAAGGACGACTACCAATCTTATGGTACTGGGTTCCGTGTGCAGATCTGGTGTAGGGTACCTCATAAATTGGACACAGCCCCCGCCCGGTAACAGATGGTTGGTAACTGCTCAGCCAGAAACCAACCCTTTAGCAACTCTTCGAAGTGAGGAATGTCAGAAAAACTTACTGTGAAATACAAGGGCCTAAGTGGAATGGACTTTAGGGTTTAGGATTTAGGGAGTTTAGGGTTTAGGAAATAGGGTTTGGAAGCCTAAGTGATTGCAATAACGGAATCAGATGGACACAAAGCGGGACGTAAATGGAAAGTAGGGCCTGGGAGCATGTAGCAGCAGCATCAGCAAGGATTGTATGTAAAGGCCAACTTAACTAAACCAAGCTGTTGGGGTACATTATTTATACTACAACTACATGAGGGGTATTAGGGAATGTGATAGGTAATCATTTGAATATAATTTAATTCAGGCTTGGCTTTGAAGCAGGTCGGTTGCTAAGTTTGGAGGGCTTGAGATCCGAGGTTTAAGGTTTGGATGGACCTGTTCAACGTCTACTGCCTTACGTCCTTGCACCCACAACAGAAGGCTCAAACCAATCAGCTCCGTCTATCAAACTTCTATCAAAACTGGGGCTCCTGGCTACGCTGCCTACACTGAACGTCTAGTTTAGGGGTTTTTAGGGTTTAGGGTATGATGCGAGATGACTCCAGTAAACTCCCTAGGCCCTAAACCCTAAATCCGAAACCCTAGTCTGCAAGCCCTGAAACCCTAAGCATGAAAGCTGAGCCCTCCACCGTTGACGATGTTGTAGGAGCACATGGCCTGCAGGCAGCCTGCCACAGATTAGGGCTCAGGCGGATCTCCACAGGTTTCTACGGTGAGTTGTGATATGAGAGTTCGAAAAAGGGGTGCCCCCTTGTTTCGAAAGTCCCTATCTTTACTTGGGACTTCTTAGTGATGGAACCCTATATACATGTTGGGTCCCCTGCATGTTTCGTCCTGCCAGAATCTAGTTAATGGCAGCTATGCATGGGGACGTCGGACTTCGGATGCATTGGCGGACGGCAGCTCGAGGGTTTAGAGCTCAGGGTTTCGCGCTTTTCTTTGGAGGAAATTCATGAGTGGGAGCCAGGGCTATCTCCATAACTACCCATCAATATCCACATAGAACTTGGGCCAAAACACAGTAAGACAGCTACCCTGCTTGCGGTAAAGACCCCGATCTGCAACTTGCATTAAGGTATATCAGCAATGTACGGTTGTTCCCCCTGATGAAAGTACACCTCGCATGTACACGCACAAAACTGTCGCAGGAACCCCCGTTCACAGAAAAACCGTTGCCCAATTGATTCACCGTGCTCACTCTGCTGACGTCCGCGTTCGGCAAAAACCAGAATGTTAAAAAAAAAACTGACAGCTGCCATTATGACATCTTCGCCCAGAAGCCATAGCCTACAAGCCATCATGTGGGTATCCACGGCACCAACAAAGAGAAAAAAATGACTGTCGGAAGCTCCCTAATCCACGACTCATCTCTGTGGAGAAGCAGGGGGCATGCTGGAGTAATTCTTTGCTGGGGCTTATAGTCACCCTTAAGTAGATAGAATATGGAAAATATGGGAATCATATTCTAATATACCCAAAGCCATATCCTATCTACTTAAGGGGGGACTATAGTAGGGGGTTTCGAAGGAGCGAGCTATGGAGACTACTATCAGAGCCAAAATTAATAGTTTCCCAAACAAAGGGGACCCCAATGTAGACCACAAAATATTATAATCCTTACTATAGGGACCCCAAAAAGGGTACCCCTAATTATGGGAAACCCTCAAATAAGGACTACTCTAGGGATCCCTTCCTCGATTCCCTACTCACCACCATTACCGAGGTTCAGGATTTAGGGCTTCGGGCTCTACCTCTTGGAACCAGGTAGATATGGGGTTTAGGCTAGGGTTTAGGGTTTATGGGTACCATTCTGAGGGTCCCAATTATAAGGACTATAGAATTGTGGGTCTATAGTGGGGTCCCCTTAGTTTCGTGAACTAACATCTTTGAATTGGGCTGGAAGCATAACCTTGCACGTTGTAGAACTATACAAGGATCATGAAAGATGATGTCGGTATTTTATCGCTTTCTCCACTGAATGGTAGGGGATGCGGGAGCTACTCCAAAATGGGTCAGTTTTGGAGCCTAAAGGCATAACTGTATGCATATAGTGTATCGGATCATACATGGGACCTACTGGCCTGTTGAGGCTTCTCAGGGGGATGCTTGCGAAGCACATGTACAGAGGGCGCATCCGTGCCTGCTTCCACGGAGGCCACGAAGGGCGGGTAGTAGACCTCTTTGCTTTAGCAGGCCCAAAACCAAGCACTCCAAATCCATGTGACTACCTAAAAACATACCGCGAGTTCTAGTACTCGAGTCACAAGTACACCTAAACCCTATACCTTCTACCCTAAACCCACAAAATCATTGGGTACTTAAACTCTTATTGTTTGGGGGTCTAGGCTCAACATGCGTGCATGTCGGCTCTGGCAACCCTGGGCGGCTTCAAAAAATCGGGGGTCCCGGTCCGCTCTTGCTGGTTCCTATGGGAAAGACAGGGTTTAGGGTTGTGCTTGGGGGGTTTAGGGTTTCGGGGGCTTAGGGTTTGGGGTTTAGGGCTTAGGGTTGCCGATATGAAAGAGGGGATTGGAGCTGCTGGAGAACTCCTAGATCTTTATGGTAAAGCTCCTGGAGCTCCTTTCACAAACCAGTTCATCACAGTTCTTTCCGATCCAAATAGGGACCAAAAAGTCTGTCAGACCTTTCTTGCCACTCAGACAGGAAAATGAAGCTAGACCCTAGATAATAGATGCCTACAGTGTCACTACGTCATCTCTCGTCATAGTCCCTCGTGATCTCTCATCACTGCTGGAAACAGGGCTATGACACATGCACTGCCGTCTCGACAGCACCAAGACTGCGGTTATGTGACATTACCTGACTAGAATCCTGCGGAACCCTATGAGGTATGTTGAGCCCCGTATAGCCTATAAACCCATTCCCTCATTCCATACTAGCTGCCAGCAAGCCCAAAGCAAAGGAGGCCCTTGGGGTGGAACTGCTTATAATTACCCAGGGAGCCCTGTACCCCCTGGTTCAGGAATTTAGCTTAGATCATATAAAGGATCCTAGTCCCATTCAGGTTATGTTCGTTAAGGGGTATGGGCTCACTGTGTACATACCCATTTATCCCTACGGGCCCCGCTAAACCCTTTAGCAGGGTTGGGGTTTCAAGTTGTCACAGCTCAGAAGTCATGACTACCTCAAGGATGTTCAACTGGACTGCGGTGAGGGCTTGTCGTTACATACCCAAAGAGCCCAAAACCCCTTAATTAAGGAAGATATATATATATATATGATTTAAGGCTTTACGGTATGTTCCTTACTTAAGCGGAATTGGGCTCTCTGGGTACGAACATGGATCTATATACACGGCACACACAGGGCACACAAAGTTGTGCAAACCTACCTGAACATCAACAGAGTCAGATAACTCTCAACAGCAAAGTCACTCTATAAGACTCTAGATCTCTGGCCGGTAGACGTCTGAACAAAGCGCTTGATAAAGCGCAACCTAGTTGTACAGCTTTTCAGTAGGGAGAAAACTTAACTGTGATCATAGCAGCACACAAACCTAAACGTTACGCAGGCTGCCTCAGGCACCGCTATTGTCAATAGCAACAACGACGCCCGGGTGATTCTATGATCCGTGGCGAACACACCTCCCACAGGGTCCGCTCATCCACGATGGAGTTGACAGTGTTTCCTCAGCCGTGTTCAGGCGGTTGTCCCTTTAGCGGGTGTCATCAAATGAGGTTTGTATGGTTCACGGTTGAGGCGTACTTACACAGTCGGATCCCTCCATGAGGTCCCGTATAACCAAATTTTTCGGCGGTATGTAAGCAGTGACCCCTTTTTTTGCTCTAGACAACCCTAAGCCCCGTCCAAGAAATTGCTTGTGCTGGCAGCTGAGCCATGCGCTTCAGGGTCTGGATTTGGAGGACCCCCCCACTCTGTAATCTGCAACTGCTTTGAAAACATGATGCCAGGAACAGCTTGAGACTTTGCGTGCTTCCGATTCTGATGCCTTGCCCCGCTTTTTCTTTGAACATGTAATGTTGGACTTCCTTTATTGAAGAATGCCCTTGTAATCATAGGTTCCCCTACTACCCGCCTCTATACTATCCCCCATAGGTTCCCCTATAATTAAGGTCATTTAGGGATAATGAGGCGTAATTAGGGTTAATTTTGGGGGGAGCCTGTGGGGGGAAGTAGGCAAACCCATGATACAATGTGCTTTTGAAAGATCAGCCCAATGATAGAAGGCCCTCTTGAGCGTCGGATTGGGTTCCTAGCAGCAGGATCCAAACCATCCCTTAAATCAAACCCTAAACCCTAAACCCTAGACCATAAACACTAGACCCTAAACCCGAATCCCCTAAACCCCTAAACCCATACCCTGACTTGGGGTTCCCTGTCTTGGGGTTCCCATGAAAGCCCCTCTAACGTTAGCGTCAGGGCATCTTGGGGTGCACCATTGAGTGCCCCCACAGAAATCACGTAGCCTTGCAATCTCCGGGCTCGAAAGAAAAAAAGCCATGCTTCCTAAGCCAAGGCCGTGAACCCTAAACAATCTCGTACATCTAGAATCTATACTATATACGTATGTATATACACCCCAGGGTATCCCTACATACTTACATAGATACACACATACAGACAGATATCCCCGCATGACGCCTAGACGCACCCTTATGGATACAGGAACCCTCATTTTTTTGGAAATTGCCCTATGTAGAAGCCATCTACAGGTGGGTATTTCTAGGGTGGGTAGTCCAAAGTGCTCCATAAGGACTCCCACACAACTTTAATAAATTGTAATCCCTAAACGCCCTAAGCCCGAAACCCTTAATGCCCTAAACCCAAAACCCGGAACCCTAAACGCCCTTAAGCGTGGCAAGGAAGGCCTTGTGCTTCTGGATAGGTACAGAAGGCCGAGAGTAAATTTCAAAAAGATCAAGTCGAGAACTACCCACCTGTGACAGGTGTACTGATCCCCTGCCCCTACTCTCGAAAACCCGCCCTCTAACATTCAATATTCCCATTGTGGTACATCAGAATATATTGGGAATTTTGAATATTGGGTGCATGGGGGATGTCAATCTTAGGGGGGTTGATTTTTTGCAACGGCCCTAAACCCCTAAACCCTAATGGGATTGGATTTATAAGCCTAAACCCTAAACCCTGGCCTTGGCATGGGATTGGATTAATAGGGTTTAGGGCTTAAACCCTAAACCCTAAACCCTAAACCCAGGGTTTAAGGGAGCCAGGCGGCAAAAAAATCAAATTTTCGGAGCTTAGCTCCGCTGTTGCTAACTTTCTGCCATGGGTTTAGGGTTTAGGGTTTAGGGTTTAGGATTCAGGGTTTAGGGTTTAGCCAAAAGAATTTTAGCATGTTGTGTTTGGGATTTATAAGGTTTAGAGTTAAAGTTTAGGGTAGTATGTTGGGATAATGGAAGATTAAATGTAAAGTACTACGATATAATAGGGTATATAAATAAGTACATGTACATGTCGGGGTTTTATTTCGATCTTAGGGTTAATTATCCTAAGACTTCAGATGCCCAAATTGAATACTGCGAATTCCGGCAGCAGCACTTGTAGTACAGGAATTGGGCGAGTGTATGAATACGGAGTGCTGAATAGTTGGACAGCTATGCTTACATAACTACAGACGTACTACTTCGGCTACAGCACCTGGGGCCTAAGAATGACGTGAGTCATGATGGTCTAAGCCGTGGCAAGGAATCAAAAGCCTGTGTGCCGAGCATCTGTTGGTCTCCTGGTTGTTGGTGATGAAATGCTTCATGACTGTCAGCACCTTACTTGGAGGGTCGTGATGACTTGGTATGTAGGTTAATAACCCCTATAACCCATATAGTAACCCTCGTGATCCCCAATAATAACCTACTTACTAAGTCCCCCTGACCCTCCAACTAAAACCCTAAACCCAAAACACCTTAAAACCCTAAACCCTTAGAGTTGGCGGGCAAACCCCGAAGCACAAATCCTAAACTCTTCAACTTACTGGTTGTTAGCAGGGACTAAAGGAATATGTTTTTTTAAGGAATATATGGGGATGTGCATAAATATATACACACATATATATATATGTAGAGATTATACTCCAATATTCCCTTACGAACAGCCAGTAAGTCAAACCCTAAACCCTAAAAGCCGAAACCCCAAGCACCGGGTATGTAGCCGGAATTCCGTGATGCCACAGAAGCACATGCGGCATTCCAAATGGTATCTGCTTGGGGGGCCTTGTGTTTTCCACGCTCGAACACAGAACTCCAAATTCTGGCCCCGTGGTACGCAACATTTGTCTGAAAACGCAGCTGCTGGTGGGAAAGTACCAGCAAACTAGCGGAGCGGACTGGCGTTCTCCAAATTATGCGCCCATCTTCGAGGCCTTGATGACGAAGACTTTAGGTGTATCTTGAGGGAAAAGAGCTAAGCCCGGAATGTGTACCCTTAACCCTAAAGCCGCATTTGGAAACACATCGCTCAGCCGCATACGTTCTGGGCATGGACGCCCTCGATGTAGCCTTTGACAAGACGTGCGCCAAGATATGGTGACTCGCCGGAGAGATACTCAACCTTGGCACCATTACCATTTTTTGCTGGTATAGTATCATTACTATATTTATTACTATTACAATTATTACTATGTATTTATAGTATTATTACTGGTGCTGAAGCGGTGGAAATGCTGTGTGTTCTAGAGTTTAGATACTGGAAAAGAAAATGGGGACTACGACGTCTATGTAACTTAGCATTTAAAGTTAAGATGCACATCCTTGGCAATACTTACGTGTTGGAAGAATGGCCTACTTGCTGGGTTGCCTGGCCCCAAAAAGGTTACGTAACCTTTGTGACATAATAGGACTATACATACCCCAAAAGGTTAAAGGTTACCCACCCAGCTACTAAGATGGAAAGCCAGTTCGGTTTAGATGATCAGCCTTAGCAGCATGCGGGGCCACGAGCTTAGAATCTTTGAAAACTCTGACCCCCTCGCCCTGCAAACAACCGCGCCTGAATAATCAACAAATCTTCAACAAATTATGAATACCAGTCTAGAACAGCGGGAAACTTCGTTAGGAGGCGGGTGGGGGTGTCTCATATTAGAGGGGGCCCCTAAACCCCTGAGCCCAACAAACTGCAGGGATCCTAGCCCCGCAACGCGAGGCGTCATGTCAGGGTAGCCAAGACTGCGGGATGAGAATCAGAAAGAAAGGTTTGAAAACAGTACAATAACGTATCTTTCCTTTTTTTTGCATCCAGCCTGCGAAGCCTCTTTCCTTTATTGGGCAACCCCGAACTCTAAACCCTGAGCCCGAGACCATGTACCACTTCAGAAACCCTTTGCCAAATGGCATTGCCTTGCACCGTGAACTAGCTTCGAATTCGAATCAGATTTCTACTTGGATAGATAGATCTGTCAGGGGAACTGCATAAAACAGGTGAGTGAAACCGGTTTAGGGTTTAGGGCTGCCCTGCACAAATCTGCGGATGTAGTACACCGTAAGAAAAATCCTGTAAGAGTCAAACAATCTCTTTGTGGCATTGCAGCATATGAACAGCACAATGGTAGGTCAACGACAAACAGCTCCAGAGGCCTTCCCAAGCCACTAACCCCAAACTTCAGGACCATTTCTTGGGTGGACCCCCCACCCAGTAATAGTGACTATTATTGATAATAAGGATTATATTAGGGTCCTCTTATATTCCTATTATACCACTATTACAGGGTGGGGGGTCCTCCTAAACCATTTCCCACATGGTACCAACATGAGTTAAGTACAACGATGGGCCTAATGAATAGTACAACTCTCATGGGATGCGAAGAATGCGAAGAACTGACATCCACAACATAAACCCTAAACCCTGAACCCTAAACCTCTGGAGGAAAAAACAGGTGCGCTGATGCGTCAGATCGGGGAATCACTGCAGCCACCCATGCCGCCCGGAGACGTTGCGGCCACCACGCGCTACGCGGTGAACATTCAGCCCAGGACCTGGAGTGAGAGCTTCTAGGAGGACCCCCCACCCTGTAATAGTGGTATACTAGAAATACAAGAAGACCCTAACATAATCCTTATTATCAATAATAGTCACTATTACTTGGTGGGGGTCCACCTAAGAGAGCTTCAAGGTCCAAGGCTCTTCAACTTGTCATCAGGCCGAGGACCTACTTGAGCTCACTGGGCGAAGAAAAAACATTAGCCAGAGCGAAGAAACAGGAACAAAAGAGAAAGCAGCAAGGAGACGCTCCCATGGAATCCTTCAACCATTAGATTGTAATGTAGTAGTTTTCATTTATTTTCCATTGTCCCAATTTAACCGCTATACAACCCCAACATATCCCCAATGTAACACCCCGAATTGCTGGATGCAAGTTTCAATTTTCAACATGCTCTCCAACTACGTAGCACGTAGGACCCCTACTAAGAGTTAACCCTTAGGTACCTATAACAGGGTATAAGGGAATCCCAGAGGGTTAAGGGTCTAAGGTCCAAGCTAAGTCCCAAGAAGGAAACTATTGAGGAACATCTCAAACGTTCCTACTAAGTACCGAATAACTAGGTTGGCCCCTAAAACCCTTTGAAAAATATTAGTATATGTGGTCCCCTATTAAAGCCATTAGGGAAAACATTAAATATCCCAGGGGCCTACCCAGCTACCAACTACCGAATAAGGAAGAAGCTTTTTCCCATTCCTCAGGATGAAGCGGCTTTCAACCCATCCCCACAGCTCAAAATGCCCCGCGAACACCTTGGTACCCTGAACCCATCCCTAACCCCAAACCTACAATCTCCATGGTTTTTCCAATGTACTACGGGTCTCATCTTAGGGGGGGAGAGGGGGGGGGGGCTGTTTTTTCTTAGGGCCTTAGCGGAGCAATCAATCCAGGTCTGGAGGGCTGCACCAAAGCCATCCCGCCCCCAGATTGCCTTTAAGGGATTTGGAACCCCAGGTAGAAATTATAATTTCAGCTAAATATTAGGATTCTAGGTAACTACCCTAAACCCTAAACCCTAAACTGTTTTCGGGAACCTCGTAGGTGCGCGCCAAAGAGCCTAGGAGAACATTCGCGCCCTTGGGTAAGAACTCCTTGCCCAAGGCCTGTCTTGCAGGTAAGCTTCTGTACTGCCTACAGGAAACCTCAGTCTAGATGCCCCTTTAGGGTTTAAGGGTTCTATTGGGGTAATATTAGGGTTATACAGGGGTAATGGAAAAGAAAATGGAAACTACTATAATGGGTTTAGGATTTAGGGTGTGTAGGCCCCTTATTAATAAACCCCCTCCCCTTAATAGGGATTATAATAGGGATCCTAGTATTAAGACCTTTAAAAGGAGGGGGTTGACTAATCAGGGGTCTACATGATGTTGTTCCCTCTGTTGTTTAAGGTTGTACCTGAACCCCAAAAGTGTGTAGAATAAATGTCTTTTGGGTTATTTTTAGGGGTTTTGGGCTATTATTTTACCTACTTGCGGGGTCCAGGTAGGTGTTACAGAGTTCAGGGTTTGGGTTTTGTTTAGGGTTTAGGGTTCGGAGCTTAAGGTGGTTAGGAACAGGATTTAGGGATTGTTTAGGGTGTAGGGTTTAGGGCTTCTGTCCTTCTGCCTGCGGAGCGTGAATGCACGCACAAGGCTTACTTAAGACTCCGGATTGCTCTTTGGGATTCCATAGAGTACTGCTGACGGTTGCCCCAAGAATTGCCCCCGTGTGTTCCAGCAAATTCACGGTTGGGGGGTGTCAATTTGGGGTCTTCTCATACTTGACACAGGTGTCCAATGAGGATTTCCGTGACCCTACACACTGAACCCTAAAGTGGAATGCGGAGGTCCAAGGAATCTGGGGGTGTATATGGAGGAGCGTTCGTTTCAGAAATACCTGCAGGGCTGCGGCATAGCTGTGACCAGAACAGGGACAGTGATAGGATTGATGGCTTAAGAGTTATTTAAGGGTCAGGGTCCAGTGTTTTTGGTTGAGGGCTCGGGATTTCGATTGTGTACTGTGCCTCCTCATTTGCAGGACTCTAAGCTTCACTCAAGCACCACCCTAGACCGTACACCTTCAATGTAAAGACCGAGCCCTCGTCTTTCTCTGGCCTTCAACCCTAAGCCTTAAACAGCCCTAAAACCTAAACCCTAAACCCTAAACCCTACACACTAAACAGCTTAAAGAAGAGTTGCGTCCCTTCAACGCGGCCGTGGCCGCTTTTACACGGATAGGCGTGCAGCCGCAAGAAGCTTCAAAGGCCTGGAGGTCGCTGATAGTCTCCTTCTTGGGATCCGTGCAGTACTTCAGTTAGGGTTCAGGGTTTGGGGTGTCTCCAAACATGGGCAAATGGGTCATTTTCTCAACATGACTCTTAACCCCCTGCCATAGGGAGAAATCCTCAAATCAGCCAGCCGCCCGAGCCCTCAAACTCGTTCTTCTAGATGGACCCCTGAAATCCGGCTGAGCGCCAACTCCTCTAAATTCCAAATCCATCCACATCTAACCCGAATCCACTAAACCCCATCCCCCGACCCCGTCAACTTACAAAACCCCAACCTCCAACCCCCCAATCCACAAAAACCAAAGCACCGAATCCTAAACCCTAACTGGATCATTGTTAGAAATTATGCGGGCGTTCATTCTCAAGTCCATAGCTTGGATTTGTCCCGATGAGGAACCCTAAGTCCTGCACACTTAGGATTTTGGGTTTAGGGCTTAGGGTTTAGGATGTCCTAACCCGCTAACTCCCTAGGCCTCGAAACCCTCAAGTCCTAAACCCCCCCACCCCCAAATCCCTAGATTCCCCGAACCCCAAAGCTCTAAACCCCCAAACTTTAAACTTAGACTCATTAGACATCCCTATACGTCCTTGCATATTCCTACATCCCACAACATATTCTTACATGTCCCCCTCGATCCCCCAAAATGCATGCCCCCCAAACAAATAGGGCCTGCTAGGCTCTAATCAGCCATAAACCCTAAACCCTAAGCCCTAAACCAACAATCCCAAGAACTCCAAATATGGTGCTTCCTTTTTGAGGCCCATAGACCGGGGGATTCCATAGCAGCCCCAGCCAAAACCTTGAACTCTAGACCCTAAACGCTAAAACCTGCACCCAAGCAGCTATATTAGGGTTTAGGGTTTTTCTTATATTAGGGCTTAGGGTTTAGGGCCTCACCGCTTACACCTGGGCTGAGGAGTGTGGCGAAGGCTTGGACTGCCCTTCCCTCTCAACACTGGACAGCTCCCTGGACGTCAAAGTGGAAATTGTTTAGGGTTTATAGGGTTTAGGGTTTTGGGGTTTGGGGGTTTTGGGTTTAGGGTTTTACAGGTAAGAGGTTTAGGGTATAAGGGTTTTGGGTAAGGGGTCTAGGGGTTTCAAGGGTTGTTACTGTAGGGGTTGTGGGGGTGTTCGGCGGCTTCAGGGCTCCTCCGACTTGCTCCCCAGGGTTTTGGAATTCGGGCTTTTGCAGATTCCATCCTAAACACTAAACCCTACACCTAGGGTTTTGGGGCCTAGAGCCTTTAATTCGGAGTTTGGGGTGTAGAGCCTTGTACAGTACAGTTCAGGAAGATTCAGATTACCCGTTCCTGCGGCCACCTAAACGCTAACTTCGCACTTTGCAACTTTGCTGACTTAGGTGTGCGCGGGTCCCCACAGGCTAGTCTGATACTAGAAGCCTGAAGCATTGGGAAGATGGTGTTTTAGCCTTCCCTGCAGGACCATATGAGTTAGATGTTCGCAATCTGTTCTGGTTGGGTAGCGCCTTGCACCCAACACACGCTCGGTTCTCGGAGAACCTCTAAAGGAAACCTTACCTCAGAAGGTCTGTTGGGTCTAAGGCAGTCCATTAGGGCAAACCCTAAACCTTGAACCCAAACCCTATAGACCCTAAACCGCGTTGTTTGGCAGTCCAACCCTTAGCAACAACTCGAAGTGAACGGCAAAGAAGCCAAATCTCGGAACCCTTTCACCGACCAGCCTCATAAGCCATAAGCTGGAGACCGACTTCTCAAAAGTTTGAGAGTTCAGGGCCTAAGGACGCCTTGAACCCAATCAGCCTAGCAGAAGTTTCTAGAGTCCCCCGAAACTGAATTTGAATAGGACAGGGAATGGATCTCTCCGCTCTCTCTCCATGTATAACCTATAATAGATACCCTATATATATACACATGTATCTATGTCACTATGGTATTTCGGGCTGCGGGATTAGTGTCTGGGGGATTGGAAGGAATGGAACAGAAAATGGGAACTACGAAACACAAAGATTGTATATGTATGCGCTCGGGTCCCTATATAAGCCCCCGTCTTAAGGAGTTCAGATTGTGGATCATATAGTAGAAAATATAGAACGAAAGAACATCTAGCGATCTTGTGTTAAAGTTGAGACGGTTGGGGGTTTAGGGGTTCAGGAATGTTGGGGGTGAGGGTTTGGGAGTTTTCGCTTTGGAGGGTCTAGGGCTTAGGTTCCCTAAACCCTATACATGTGTATATCAACTAGCCCTAAGCCCTAAACTACCATCTATCTGTCTATGTATCTGTCTGCCTGTATGAGAAGTTTCCAGTTTCTTTTTCATTCCTTGCTGAAGCCCCCAGACCACAAACCCTGAATCCTAAACCCTAAACCTAAGCCTGTAAACCCTAAACCGTAAACCTCAACCCTACACCCTGAAACCCTAAACCCTAAACTCTTAAATCCTAAGCCACAAACTCTAAACCCTAAATCCTACAACCCTAAAACCCAGGCCTGATGTCTGGCCAATCAGCCCTAGGCATGGATTTTGTGGCTCACCTGTTTGAGATTCGGTTTAGGGTTTAGGGTTTAGGGTGAGATTCTTGCGGTTTTAGACTTTTGTTGTTTTTTTGTTTTGGGGGGAGGGGTGTAGGTTTGGGAGGTTGAAGGTTTAGGGTTGTAGGGTCTAGGGAATGCGAGTTTTCCGATGGTAGGGTTTCGCAAGAAAGGGCGCTCCGGGGACTTTGCGTTGTGCGTTTAAGTATCTTGGGGTCTTAGGGTTTGGATATAGAGATGAAGACTAATGTGAAGCCGGCTTTGCAAGGACTGTGGTCTGTGTGGGGCTGCTTGAGGGTTTGCCCGCTCGTTTGGCAGAAGGCGTCTTAGGGTCATCGGGGCTACATAGCAGAGGGCTGATACAGGGTGTGCCCCCCTAAGCCCTAAGCCCTAAACCCTAAGCCCTAAACCCTAAACCCCATTTAAAAAAACCCTAAACCCTAAGCCCTAAGCCCTAAACCCTAAAACCTTAAGCCACTGTTTGCAGAGCTTACAGCAGGTCCTAGGGGCTGAGGGTGCCGATTCTATGCCCTACCTCCCTCCTCTTATCCGCTTCCCCTAAGAATACGCTCCCGCTAGATACTTCTCCAGTTAAATGGACCGATAATGGTCCTACTGCCAACCGGCAATTAAGTGGAGTGTGTATCATTATGGGGTTGGTGGGTTGTGTTGTTACGTAGGAGGAGGATATGGGTAGCCTAAACCCTAGACACCAAACCCCGAACCTCGAAACTCTAAATCCTGTCGGAGGCGACTGTGCAGCTAAGGTCGCCCGCATCCAGGAAAACTTTTACAGTGCGCCCCAGGACCGCCCTTTTTTGCTGGATTGCGGTGAAGGAACTTAAACTCAGCTACCAAAATATGAACATGTACTGTGTATGCTTTCTCATAAAAAGCAACCTAACTTAAATTACTTAGCTCGAAGCCCTAAAGTTAGTTTGTTGGTTCAGGGTTATTCCCAAGATCTGCACGTGCTGTCTTTTTGTGTGGGCTTAGGGTTTGGGGACATTGGCCTCACAGTGATTGGCCTCATTGGCAAGGGTTTTGGTAAGAGATTTGTAGAACTTCTACATCCTCTTGAGGTAAATTTAACTGCAAGGGACAATGACAGAACCCGTAGTACATAATTCGGTGAGCCCTAGATCCTCAACCCTAAACGCTAAACCAGCCTAGACAACCCTAGACGCTAAACCATAAACCGCCCTAAGCCCTCATCCCTATGAACATAGCCCATTCCCGCAGTCGTTAGCAAGCACCAGGCAGATATTATTCATGGTAATGTTTGAGCCAAATCAGTACCATGGGTACTATCCTCCAACCTGAAGCC